ATGAATCCGTGGTCGAGAGCCTCTTGGATGTACTCCTCCATGGCCTTCTGCTCCGGGATGGACAGAGGGTAGATCTTACCTCGCGGTAGGACCGCCCCAGGCAGCAGGTCGATCGCGCAGTCCCATGGCCGATGAGGGGGTAGAATGGTGGCTTGGTGTTTATCGAAAACGTCCTGGAACGCCCGGTAGGGAGAGGGAATTTCGGGAGAAGGTTCTACTGGTGGGCTTTCTACGGAGGTGGTGGAGAGTGGAACAGTCGGAGTGGTGGAAGCAACTGGAGGTTTCGTCACAGAGGGAAGACAGCGCTGGAAACAGTCATGGCCCCACCGAAGAACCTCGCCGGTGGACCACTGAATGTGAGGCGAATGGGTTTCCAACCAGGGGCGTCCCAGGATGATCTCAGCCGTCGAGCCCTCCAGCACCAGAAAGGATATCTCCTCCCGGTGGAGCCAGCCGATCTCCAACCCCAGGTCCGGGCTACGATGTCCGACCCGGCCGCGTCCCAGTGGTTGACCCAGAATGGTTTGGACTTGGAGTTTGTGAGGGATGGTTCGTTGCTTGGTTTGGAGCCGGTTTAACGTGGAGAGTGCAATGAAGTTGGCCGCTGATCCGGAGTCGATCAGCGCCTGGACTGAAATGGAACGGTTCAGGTAAGTGATAGTGGCCGCTGTGAACTTCAAGGAGGAGATAGGCAAGGGTAACTGGACTGTACTCACAGCTGGTCGGGGCGGGCGAACGGGACAGGAGGCGAGCAGATGACCGGAGGCTCCACAGTACAGACACAGCCCATTGGTGATTCGCCGGTTCCTCTCGGATACCGGCAGGTGAGTGGTACCGACTTCCATGGGTTCTGGTGCTGGAGGACTGTGGTGGCGGGGCACAGGACGAGGAGTTGGAGGTGCAGGGCTATCGAGCTGGCATGCAGTGCGCCGCTGATCGATACGGATGGACCGCTGGATGATGCTCTCAATGCCGACGTTGTCGTCATAAACCGCTAGCTGGAGGCGGATATCTGGATGTAACCCATGACGGTAGGCTGTGATGAGAGCAGACTCATTCCAGCCAAGAGTGGCAGCGAGGGTGCGAAATTGCAGCGCATATGAGGCGACGGACGATCTCCCTTGTCTCAGGCGATACAGCTGGTCCTGGACGGAGATGGAATGGGCTGACTGTGAGAACACCTCGGTGAAATGGCCGGAGAAAGCAGCGAATGTCCGGGTAACTGGGCCACGATCCTTCCAAAGGGCGTGAGCCCAGTTGAGCGCTCGTCCTCGCAGGAGGGAGATGAAGAAGGCCACTTTGGATCGTTCCGTGGGGAAAGATAACGGATTCATCTCCATATAGAGCTCGCACTGCAAAAGGAAGCCGCTGCACTCCTCCTCCTCGCCTGAGAAGGGCGCTGGTTGGGCCATGGGACTGGCAGAGGCAGATGTAGAAGAAGCGGTCACGGTGGATGTGGCGAGTGCTGGAGTGCTGGTCCGGGGAATGGTAGGAGGAGGTGGGGTCGGTGTAGCGCTGGTGCTCGGGGTAGATTGCTGCATTATGTTGGTCTGGTCTTCTGTCACAGACTAGAAGGACACAGATGGATGAGTGTAACCAGGTTTATTGAGACAGTGGGTATGATAGACAGCAGGTAAGTGAGTAATGGATAAAGTTCGGTTTAGGAGCGGGAAACAGTCTGATAGTGGATTTCTTATCTTTAAGCAGGGCTGGAGGTTGGTGAGCGGAGGCAGCAGACGGATGACCAGAAGGATGACCGGGGACCAGGAGCGGATGAGAAGCAGACGGGCTGAAGTAAGCGGGTAAGTATTCCTCAGAAGAAGGCAGTAGCGTAGCGGGAGTCTGTAGTCGATGTGTCGACGAGACCAGACGGTGAGTGACTGTGAGGAGTGAGTTTATAAAGGGAGGATGATTGGGACGGTGATTGAAGCGGGCAGGTGACAGTGATTAGTATGCTGGGGAGCTGGAACGAGTGGGCGGAGTGAAGGTGTCTGGTGCAGACGCCGATGGATCCGTGACAGACGGACTGTAAGATTACAATCCTCCTCCTACACTTCATCCTTCATATCTTCCACCTTTTCTCCCTTATAAAGTGCTGACAGCTATGATCAAATTGACCGATCCAGCCATGCTTTATCTCACCTCAGCTGCTCCAATTATCTCTACGGCAGAGCTTGTAAATAGATTTGTTATCAGACGGGATGGATGAACTTGGGGCGACTCTCCAAAGATTTGTCTCTAGTGCAGAATCGCAGACCCCATTTGGGACGAGCAGCGAGCACTACCTAATAAAGCAGAACTAAGTGAATCATTAATAAGAGCTGTAAATAAACGTGGCCCTGATGGGCCCCCCAGAGGCCCCAGTGTACGCCTGTCAACGGGATGCTGGATTATCAATCAATGCAGGCCCTTAACGGCCTATTAATTAAAAACAAAGCAGAGTCTACGTAAAGCGATGCAGGTTCTATTAATCAATAGCGAGCGGCGGCGAGAAACAACAGCCTTCAGCGTCTTTGAAAGCCTCAGTCAGAGTTGACAGGGTGAAGACGTGATGTGGAAAAACAGACGGATCAGAGGATGGAGAGGCACAGATGAGGTAGACGGATGGGTTGATGCAAATGCATTGACAGACAGAAAAAAAAAAAGAGATAAAAAAAAAACATCACAGTTGCTGCACAATTTGGTCTTGTGTGGTTATTTTTGCTTATTGATATTGGGATTTGAACCGCAATGACTAACTTTTTTTCACTAGGAGCACAGTGGCCCCCAACTGAAAATTTTAGGGGCAATCACACTACGTTAACTGACTAGAGGACCATAGAGAAGGAAGTGAATAGTTGAAATAAAGTCGTTATTTATATTTGTTTTTGCGTACAAAAAGTGTACTCGTTGCTTGATAAAGTTAAGATTGAGCCACTGAAGTCACTTGGACTATTTTAACGATGTCTTTAATTTCTTTTTGAGGCTGGCAAGTTTCAATACCTCAAGAAGCCTATGGACTAGTATGCAGGAGTGATCCAGCTCTCAGATTTCATCAAAAATATCTTAATTTGTGTTCCGAAGATGAACGAAGGTCTTACGGGGTTGGAATAACATGAGGGTGAGTAAATACTGACACAATTTTCATTTTTTGGGTGAACTAACCCTTTAACCAGCTGAATTCTCGTAGCCAGTCTTCACGAAAATGGTGTGTTTGGCCTTTTTCACCACAAAAACCTCTCACTCTGAATCATCTTCCGACTGTGACACTGTACTAACTGCAGCGTTTCAAATATCTCACGGTTCAGTTTGTATCCCGGTTTTAGGTTCACGGTTTCGGTATGATTCGGTATGAGCTATGTTCAGGAAAAAAAGTCTACTGTCAAATAAAATAAAGAAAATATGGAAAAAAATAATCTAACCACAAGCAAAAGCACAAATAAATACAATGCAGGAAAGAAACAATGCTTTTCAGGTAGATCTAACATTAGTTTTTAGGTACAGAAATTGAACAAAATAATCAAATGTAAAATAACATTGCATATTCGACTATATAAATTAAAGATGAATCCTTAGTAAAGTTACAAAAGCTATTCAATTCAGAGCTGATTCAGTAGGCCTACACGATACTGCGAGTGTCTTTCTTGACCATACAAGTTCACTTAAGGCATAACAGACTATGTCTGCTAGGATAATCATCAAGACGGACATGTTGACATACTTTTTGCGCGTTTAAACGTCTGTGAGCATTTTAGTTGTGATAATTTTCATCCAGACTAATATTATTTTTGCATATTACTACAATTACTAATTAATAGTTGTTAAATGAGATAATATATAAAACTACAATATTTTTTAAACAATAATACAAACATTATATTAAATACATTGTAATATTTTGACTAAATAGAACATTAATAAATTGAAAATTAAGATATTTATATAAGGTAGTATATCATATGATATAAATATATTATAAAAAGTAATTTAATATTTAGAACATTTTAGAGTATTCTACAAAAAAATCAATACTACTGTATGTAATATTATACAGAAATTCAAAATATTCAAATATTCAAATTCAATTTTTTTTGGAAAATTTGAAGAATATTTTAAAATTGCAATTTTTATACCATAAAATATATATTTGCAACACTGCAAGGTGTTTTTTTTTAAACCTTCAAATTGTAGCATTGGAGAATAATGCCTATAGACCTCATTCACATCAATGCCATCTTTAGGGAATGAAAGTGAAGCTGTGAGGGATAGACATACGTCTCTACAGTGGGTTGAACTGTTATTTCATATGTTTTTGGATTGAACTGCTGATGAAACACTGCAAAAAACAAAAACAAAAAAAACCCTCCAGACAAGATGAGCTTTGGAAAATAAGTGATCTAGGAGCTTTATACAGGCTTTTCACAGCAAATCTCTCACACCTGTCATGGCACTGCTCTGAACAAGGTCTGTTGTTGAACATACAGATTTAAGTGAAGACAGCCCACAACTCAAACGAGAAAACATTATTTATCAGTTGAACTTACCAAGATTTTACACTCTGGCCCAAATGGCCAACCAACCAAAGTGCAAACGTCCTATTGATTCTTTTAACCGATAAACCGCAATTTATAGTTTACGGTTATGGTTTATAGCGTCTACCGCTCCAACGAGGGAATCGATACCTTGGTCTGCTCAAGCAGATTGCGAGCATAAAACTCCACAGCAGCAGTTTGAGGTTGGATAAGGTTGTCTTAACCTTGAAATCAGAGGCTTTGCATTGCAACTCAACAATTAATAACATGCTCCGCTCAGAGCCGACTAAAAAAAATAAATAAATAAAAATCGATGCTTTTCATGCATGCATTTATGGAACATTTTTATTCCTTCCTCCTCCATTCCCCCCCTCCTTTTTCCATGCACCTTCCCTCCCGGCACGCTCTGAGATAGCAATCTCTAAATCCGTCAGCCTCAAAGGGTTTTATATGTGCTGGAGAGCTGGAAACCAGCATTACCTTGCTCACCCTCCTCGCTGCAGCCCGGCCCCATGCAGGGTTCAAAATCTTGGGTGTGCAGGCAGGGCATGAAGGGGTCCAACTGTGCTTTTAGCATCCTCTGCCTCATCCTCCGACCCTTATCGCACGTGGAGGAGCTACAGGCCGACCACGGAGACCAGTTAGAGTAGATGCACGTCTCTGGAGTGTTGTCTCCTGCGGAAAAGTAAGTGGATAGACTCATTAGGGGAAATGGTTACGGTTCATGAAAAGCAGTGACACTTTAGCAGGGATGGCGGAAAAAAAAATGGACTTTGTATCTTTCTGTCCTTGTCTCTTTTTTATTCCTCCCAGTGGAGCTATCAAAACATTCCCTGAAAGCGTGACAGCAACACTGGTTAAGTTTTGGAGCTGGGCTAATGGCTGCTAGTAGCGCAGAAATGACACTCTTTAACTTTTAAAGAAGTCCACATTGTTCATTCCAGGCCTCATCTCTCCATTCCTGAAACTGGAGGGAAACCACAGGTAATTTATGGTGCTGACATGGCGCATTAGCCAACAAACATAATTGAAGTGCACCACGGTAAAGCATATTGTTCTTCTTCATCTTCTTGTTGTTTGACTTAACTGTGAAAGAAGGGATATTGTGAGGTTTACTCTAAGATAACTGCTGGCCTCCTTGTTCATTACACTGTCCGTTGGCTATGTTTTTAAATGAGGTGCTACAAATTGGATAAGATAGTGTAGCCATACGCACCTTCCTCCTTCTCCTCCTGAGCAATATCAGCGACGATATCGTCTATGGTGTCGGGTACGGTATTGCACTGCTCTCCCTGCAGATTGGAAGAACATGGATCAACATCACAGTGCCTGATAAGATCCACCATTTGCCATCTGATCACTATCACGCTAAGCCCGGCGAAAAAAAAAAAAGATTCTCCGGGGGCAGATGATTGTAAACTAGCTGGCTAGAGGCAATCCCACGCTTTACCCCACTCAAAAGCCTTGAGATGAGATTCTTCCCAGCTGTGAGATAGAGATGAAACATCTGGTGTGGAATATTAAGTGTTCTGGATCATGCCGATAAGTTCCAGAATGGATTATTTTAGAATCAAATCCTCCAAACACTGTCATTAGAAGGATAACAGATGTGTTATGAACATTGCTGGGTTTTCGTGCATCACGACAGCTTGCCTTGACATATTTTTGTAAGCAATTGCTTTAGTTTGTTTAGCAAATGGACTTTTTTGATTCAGCAATTCAGGGTCAGCAACTATATTAAACAACACAGCTATTCATGGTGAATGTTTGAAAACACAGTCCCATTTTGCTCCAAAATGTTATTGTCATGGTTTGGTGTTGGAGGAAGAGAAGGCGAGCAGGCAGAAGGTCCAATAGAAACGTACAGGCAGGCAGGTTACACACACAATAACATAATCAAGAACTGACAAGGACTGACTGACCAGTCTTCAGTGTCACATGGTCCATCATAAATCATTCTAATATGCTGATTTGCTACTCAAGAAACATTTCTTATTATTATCAATGTTGAAAACAGTTGTGCTGCTTGATGTATTCCTCCAAGACCAATATCCGTTACCATACTAAACTCTTCTGAGAGTTGTCATGATAGAATTATAATAAACTAAGAAGACATGAACGTTTTAAAACAAACATGTTAGCTTTTAAAAATCACCTTTCTTGCGATTCTCTCCACTACCACTTGGGCGAGGGGTGCCAGGGGGCCACCGGAAGGGTCATAAAAGGGACTCTGTGGGTGATCCAAACTGGTGAGGGGTCGAATCCGCTCCTGGGGATTGCTGGGTTTATTGGGAGACTTGGATAAAAATATGAAGTGGAGGATAAGAGGAGAGAGGAGAGGGGAGGGAGGGAGAGAGAGAGAGAAAAAGACTTTTCAATGCCATCTGCCAGGGCCTCCCACCTTTCATCTCCATATTCATCATTCATTCACTCTGTGATATTCCCTTTATGAGTGATTTATGGCCTTGTTTCCTGCCTCTGCACTTTGGGTCACCTGACAGTTACTTGTGTTCCACTCCAACGCCTTCAGAGAAACGCTGCAAAACAAAGACCAACTGCTGCTCCAACTGCTCGGTTTAAGCCAAGTTCAACTTCTAAAGCTGACTTGTTATTTCTTTCAAGGACCAACTCAGGTCTGTACCAGCAGGGGGCAGTGTGTTAAGCACTGGTTCCACTTAACATTTGGGTTGTGCAAAGACTTACTACCGTTTCCACTGAAGGGCTCTTGAGTAAATATTAGGACGCTATTGACACTAGAAGCAACATAGGACACAGTGATGAAACTACTTTATTTGCACACACTTTTTTTCTTCGCTATATTTATTTAATTATTTTTCTAGTGATGCAAACTAGAAGAGTGCACATTACATTATCATATTTTATATATTTGTTTAATTTTAATGATTATTATTTTACTACTAATAAGTAGTATTATTTTGCAAACTATGCACACATAAACCTCAATACAAATGTGCAATAATGTAATAGTAAAATGTATTATTATGTTATATTATTTAATTATCTGACATTTGCATGTTTGCATGCGTGTAAATTTGAATTTAATTTGATCTGAACAGTTTGCAAATTTATTATTTAAGTTATTTTGGAATTTTAAATAATAGAAAACATGATTAAATATTTCATTAAATAATATATTAATAGCCTAACTTAAAACAAATATTCTTTGTAAATAAGACAAACCAAGCAAATGACTTGAAGTCTTGTCAAAGACAAGATGAGATAGAAGAGATGAGATTTATCACTTTGATTATTCAATATAGCAATCCACAACGACTCCCGTTAAAGGACTGTACTGTATATGGTTTTCATCCTTAAAGTTCTCACAGTATTTTCTAAATGTAATGATGTAATCACACTGTGAAAGCTGACCTCATAAGTGACCCCACTGTCAGTACCGGCGTCCCACGGCACCAGATCCTTCACCACTTTCTGGACCCAGCCACAATCCCTGGTGCAGAGGTCCTCCCCAGGCAATCCCACGTTCCAGTCAGGGCTGGGGCCCAACATGGTCAGGAATGACATGAGATGACGGGCTCGATCCACAGAGAACTCAGCCGAGGGGGCGGAACGCCTGAGAGAAGACGAGGGAAAAGATGAAGCCAGTCGAAAATAAAGTTGTTGTTTCAAAGGAAGGACTGTACGCAAACATCGTGCCACTTAGTGCCACTGTGTCATGTATTATTCGCTAAGGCATAATTTGTTAGAATCCATGCAGATGGTAATTAATCAAACTAATTGCCCTGATAACAAACCATCACCAAAGCAACTGTTGCCAATTGAGTGGAGCAGGCTGCATGTGAGAAAATGTTACTTGGATCTATTGATTAACACATATTAAATATGCATCATGAAACCAGCACCTTATGACTCTCACAGCCCACACATGAGAGCAAAAGAAAGAGAAAGAGAGAGAGAGAGAGAGAGAGAGAGAGAGAGAGAGAGAGAGAGAGAGAGAGAGAGCACTCCAGGCAGATGAGAATTAAACTCATGTTTTGAAATCAAAACCAAGGACTATGCCAAAAGACAAGCACAATGTCTGCAAAAATAAAATAAAATCACAGGTACAATAAGTTAAAAGTCACAAACGCAAACCATTGATACAATATAGACTACAATATAATATATATTGATGGATAATGGATAATGAGAACTTATATAACCCCTGTAAGATTAACTTAACCCCAATATCCCTTACCAATGTTTTAAATGCAACAAGCTTCAATGTACTTTATTTCACTGTATGTGGGAATGTCAGAAGGCGCAAAAGTTTAGGGTGAGTTGACTCAATGTTCTCAATTTACTTCTTCCCCAATTCCTCAAGACCAGAGAAGTATCTAAGCAGACAACTGTTCACTACCTATTAAAGAAAGAAAGTTGGTGAACTTATGTCCAGTACAAACCAGACGTTCTGTTGTAAGGTGCCCCTAAAGGGACATGGTGGTGGAAAAAATATATGAGACGCGAGGAAAAATAAGTAGAAGCTTTTCCGTTCTCTCGCAAAACCTATACGCTACGATAAATGGGTTCAATTAAGATATGTGTACAAAAAGACGGGTAGGAAAGACCAAACTGCCCATTTTATACAAGCAAGGTAATTAGTTTATCAAACAGAACATTTCTAAAAAAAACAAAAAAACAAAACAAGAGTCTATAATGCTTTAGAATAAAGTTATGAGGCACCATATTGTGACCTGTTGGTGGAAAATGTCTTGTACATTTGACTTATGTTTAGAAATAATTAGCTTCTGCCATTCCATTTCCTCTTCATGGGGTAAATTGGTTGTGGTAATTGACAGTCTGATGTTAAAATAGGTCAAGAGAATGTCCTGATGTATTGGAGCTGGAGGGAGGCCATTAACCTCAATCGCAAAAGCACCACGGGGGAAATGCTACTCTCATCAAAAAAAAACGGAAGCCTTCGCTAAACAAAACCGCACATAAAATATTAACCGCCTCGTTAGTGAGCGGGAAAGAAACATCTACATACCCAGCAGGTGCTGAAGAGAGGTTTTTTTTGGTCATGAACCAGACCTTGTTGTTTTCCACTAAAAAATACTCACCCAAGAGAGAGAACACAATGGACAGATTGGATGGAAACGTACACTACCATTCACAAAGTCACACTTGGTTTTACACTTTGTCATATGGGCTAATTCAATAAAATTCCTACTTTTCTAAGTGTGGCTAATGTACCAAAATACTTTTTGGGGCCTCAATATAAACGTAAAAGTACAAAAGAGATGGAAACTTACACGTTAAGAGGCTGCCAGGCGGGCCACTGGGCTTTGGTTTTGATAACTGTCATAACATCATCACCCTGAGAGAGACAGACAGAAAAAGAGAATTTGAATAACATTGCATCCTATATATAGAACGACAAGTGCGCTGAGACAAAACAGCAAGGATTTTGTGTTCTACTTTTTTCAATTTATCTAGAAAAGAAAAGTTTCTTTTCCATGCTTTATTTCTCTCCCTAAACCTCTGAAAATATTATATCCATGACAATACTTCACTTCTGGTTGTGCGTTTAAGATTCCTGCTATTGTTTGGAGCACTGATCCAGTTGTTATTATGTGATACCTGGCCCCAAGGGAAAAAGACACCATGCTTTAACAATACTTCACTGAGGACAAAAAGAAATAGCTGCAATAAAACCTCATTAGTAAAGAACAGTCAAAGACACAAAGAAAGCAAGAGAGCATGATTGAGACGAAAGCAACAGACAAGAGATCGAAAGGCACAGAAAAAGCCCTGTGCGTGTTCATCAGGGGATGCTGGGGGCTGAAAGAAGTGTCTGACGATCTGTTCCAACATTCAGACAGGATCCTGAAGGTACCAGTTACCGCTGACAGTTTCAGGTGCAATACTCGCGCAATAATTGAGATTGTGCCATATCAGTTCATGACCTCTGTCTGATAATGTACTGCACAGTGCACACTGAGAGAACGTTTAGTATAAAGGGATAGTTCACTTTGAAATGAATTTTTGATATGTTTTAGCTTACCTGAAGGGCAGCCAAGATGTTTCCACAGTATTTTCAATTTTGACATTTTTCGGTCAAACCGGTGTTGTCTGTCATTCATATAATGCAGGTTTAGGGGTCCACCTCAAAGAGCATGCACAGAGAAGTAAAAATTAAACCTGATTTAATGACTCGTAAATGTGAGTACACATTGATGGCCTAAGACACGAAACGAGCAGTTTGTGTGAGAAAACGAACAGTATTTATATCGTTTTTACCTCTTGTTAACAGCTATCGAACTGATCTGAATCATGTCCAACTGAACCGAACTGAACTCCGCCGGAAGTGATGTCACGCATTGTTTGCGGAGATTTCGGAAGTTTTACCTTTCACTAAACATATTTAGATATATCGAAATCGTCTTCCATTGCGATTTGTATATCTAAATATGTCTAGTGAAAGGTAAAACTTCCGAAATCTCCGCAAACAATGCTTGACGTAGACGCGCGAGAGATCACTTCCGGCGTAACATTGGACATGGTTCAGTTCGGTTCAGTTGGACATCTGGTTCAGATCAGTTCGACATAGCTGTTAACAAGTGGTAAAAACGATATAAATTCTGTTCGTTTTCTCACACAAACCGCTCGTTTCATGTCTTAGGCCATCAATGTGTACACACATTAATGAGTCATTAAATCATGTTTAATTTTGACTTCTCTGTGCATGCTCTTTGAGGTGGACCCCCTAAACCTGCATTATATGAATGACAGACAACACCGGTTTGACCGAAAAATGTCACAATTGAAAATACTGCGGAAACAAAGACACCTACATCTTGGATGCCCTTGAGGTAAGTTAAAACATATCAAAAATGAATTTCAAAGTGAACTATCCCTTTAAATTCGAATAGAGGCCTTTTATAAGAAAATAAGTTTTCTTTTTTGTTACCTTTGAAGGCATCGTATAACTGGTATGTTATACGTTTTCCGTTCCAAATACCGTTCAGTATATAGATTCAGGTTTGGTCAGGAGTGTCAAAAGCCATTGAATATGGCCTGTGAAGTGTCTCTGAGACCCCTGGCTTAACCTCAATCTATAGGCAACGAGCGACCTGTCATTACAAACGTCCTCACAAAAACTCTTCCGTCAGATCAAGGAAAATGAGACTACTGAAAAATTAACATGCTGGTGGCAAATGCTCTTTTGATGCTAGCTGAGTGAGGAAAGTATCCACACTCACAGTTTGCCGCCCAACATCAAACAGACGTACAAAGCGAGTTTGTACATTCCTAATGGCCTGGGTGAATTACATTAGCGCCAAGACAAGCGATACAAAGCAGCATAAAAATCTATATTCACTTGCTTACTCAATGCTCATTGGATCGTTTCATGTAGATTTTGTTTGGGAGTTTAAAAACAGCCATCAGTTTAGGTCAAGTGCACTAAAAGTAAATTTGCTGTTACTGCATTTACCCTCGGAAATAGCACACACAGGCCACACGGGTCAACAGAGACATATTGTTGTGCATTCAACTTCTATATTTATCGACGCACTAACTGGTTCAACAATAGACCCACTATGCAACAGAAATTTAATAACAGCTGCTACCAAAGAACTAAGATTGTGAAGAGACTTCGTTCTGGCATTGTTGGCATTTTTGTGAGAAATACACAGCTGCCTCGAAGTAATTAAGCAATTAATCTGCTAATTGGCCAAATTGATGAATATATTTCAAAGAGGCAGATGGTGCCGCACATGCTTGAGGATGATAATTTACGGCCCACCACTCTGGAAGTTTTTTCGCATTGGAACCAAAAAGAAAATGAAATAAAATGGGCCAAATGGACTTCACTTCTGCTTATTCTGAGGATTTATCAAGTGTACTTAGGTTGACAACCTGGGAGCGAAATCTCAAAGGAAATCGCCAAACCGCTGAACCAAAAAAACAAACCGGTCCAGTGCTCTGAACATGACCATCGATTGGGGTGCAAAATAATAATAATACATCTGGGCCAGAAACTAAGTTCCTCTGAAGTTTTTTTTTTTTTTTTTACCTCCTGGAGGATTTTAAGTAGGGATGTACCAGAGAAGCATGAAGAAAACAGAAAGACATTTTGCTCAAGGGTGGCTGGCAATTTTTCAATCTTTGAGAGAGTTTACAGCTCCCTAAAGGCTGCTGTAAAGAACATGTCTATCTTCAATTCAACTTTTATCACACTGAGGCAAGTGCACTTCTGGTTTTGCTTTGGTGTTTTGGTCCCAAACTTTTTCTCAATCCTTCGGACTGCTCGCTCACATTCACATACAGGTCACACGCACTGGCCTGTTTGTTTTGCGGATGCAGATTACCTGTGTATCGCAGTATGAATGCTAAAGACAGTGTTTAAAGGGACAGTAGTACACCCAAAATTCGGTTATCTTCTTTATGTTCCACAGAAGACAGGTTTGTAACATGAGAGTGAATGACAATGTAAACTATGCGAGAATTGTAATATTTAGGTGAATTCTTTCATTAACGCAAAACGTTACAGGCAAAACCAAAACTATAGACCAAACTTTTCAGTTTTATTCCTAAAGAGTCTCTAAAGAGTTTTACAGAAGGGCTTGTTCATATAAAATTTGCCTGATTTATATAACATTTTATTTAAAAAAAAATATTAGAGTATTTTCAGATGTATGGAGTGATAAAAAGAGAGCTCCCAAAAATCCCTTCTGTAAAAACCTTTAACTCTTATTATAGGAGTTAAAGGTTTTTATAATTTTATATAAAAATGTTATATTTTATATATAAAATATAAAATTATATTATATTATATAAAATATATAATTATTATAATATATATATATATATAATTATAGTAATTATTATAATAATTATATGTTATTATTATAATAATTGTTATTATTATAATTATTATAATTATGTTTAATTATATTATAATTATATTTTTTATTTTATATACAATTTTATATTTTATATAATATGTCTTTATCTTTATCAAACTCTAGCTTTATCTAATGTTCACATTTAATTAAATAATTGCATGTTTAAACAAAACATTTAAAAAAAACCTTGTAATGGTGGTGTAAGTATGGTGATATCTATTCATTGTTTTATCATATTCACCTGTAGTGTCTTGCCTCAGGATGCTGGATAAGGAGGACAACTGTTGACTTTCATTTGCACACAGTGAATTTGCTTGTGGGCCCATCCGTGCTGTGCAGCAAATGAGAACTGTGTCACTCTGGGTCCCTGGCTGCTGTTTCTGAAAACGGGTTTTACACTTCACAGACCGTCGCCCCAAACTGACCCTGACCAAATTGCCGGGAGGGATGGAGCGAGACAGAAGAGGAGAGGAACAAAGGATGAGAGGTAGAGGAGTGTGACTGCTGAGAAGCCAAAGGGTCTCAGAGGGTTCTTGGAGAAATGCCTCGGGGAAGGTCATATACCTCTTTCCACTTCTCCAGGCTTCAAAAGAGTCTCATATAAGCACACGGCACAACCGATTGACAAGGCATGCATCACATATTACCAACGGCTGCTGTTGAATGACCATCAATGGAGAAAGATGCCTTTCGGCCCATTTAGTTATGGCATCTGGGTCAATGATAAGAAATATATTCATTTCCTTAGAAATATATTCATTCTCTAATGAGGCTTTTTCATCATTACATATTACAACAGTTAAAATAAAATAAAAATAAAATATAAAAATGAATTTTAATTCAGATATTAAAATCATGTTCATCATAGAAGATGTGTTTTAAAGTTATTTTATTCACAAATTGCATTTTTAATGCATTTTTGAAAACAAAAGAACATCATCAGAGTCATGACATTGATCGACCAGCTAAACGGACCATGCCACACACACAGAGAAATGAGAGAAGATGGAGAGTGACAATGAAAAATATTGAGTTTTCTAGAAGTGCCACTCGTTTGGCAAACATCAATTACCAGTCGTCTAGAGCTAGACAAGCGTGTACTGAAGTTCTCCTCTGAATCACTTTTTCCAATTTACACCCGCTTCTTTCAGAGTCACTGCTACTTATCACCCAATAACCTCCGTTCAGAATAATCCTTCAACAGTCCTAGTACATTACCGGCACTTTTGTGTTGCCTTTTAGCTCTGAATCATTGGTAATCTTAACCTTGATCGGACCATTGTGCCCTGTGCCGCCCGTGACCACAATCCCCGCAGGACGTATCCATCAGCTGCTGCCGAAACGAGTGTGGCGTGGTGGCAGTAATTGAGTTGTGCCCAGAGAGCTGTCAGTCAGAACTAACAACTCAGTGTCACATTTGCAAAGCTTCTGCACTTTTTGTTTTCACATCTAACTGATTTCAGCCTTA